AGGGGAAAAACGAGAAAAGCCAAAAAAAAAAAAAAAAACCCAAAAGCAAAAAGTAACAACCTCCCCCAACCCTTTTATTTTCTAAAGTAACTGGGAAAAAAATAAAACAACAGCCAACCCCGTCCATCCCAACCCAGCCCCCTGAAGGGTTGAATTCTCGCCTTCCTCAGAGCAGGCATGGCATCGGACAGCATCTTCGATTCCTTCCCGTCCTACTCGCCGACCTTCATCCGTGGTGAGTAATGCTTGCCCGAGGCCCTGGGCCCGTCCTTTTGGGTGGGGGCTGTGGCCAAGCCACGGACCATGGCTCTCCACCAACCTCCCCGGCTGCTTTCAAGTTAATGGCCCCTCAACCTAAATCCACCGGCCTCAGAAAGCCTGAGGTGGAAAGAGGGGTTGGTGGCCTCCATGGTCTCCTGGGGTAGAACCTCTTTGTGGGACTTTCATCCTCAGCTGGTTGGGACAGTTAGCAGTGAGGGCAATGGATACCACAAGACCTCAAGACCTCAAAGGCCAGATCTCAGAGGGTCTTGGGGCGAAGAAGACGTGTGTGTGTGGGGGGGGTCCCTCTGTGACCTGAAGCTTCCTGCCACATTAATAGGGCTCCCAGACCCTGCAGCCCTCAGCCAGAAAGTTTGGACCCTCTACTTGGGCTCCAGCAGACATGGGCTCTAGGTGACATTAGGTTCTCCCAGAGCCAGGGCAGCTTGTGGGGAGAGCCATGGGAGGCAGACTACACCTTAGGATCTGAGATCTTCCAAGGACTTTCCTCTACGTTTCCCATGTCATCCCTGGGGTAAGGGAAGCAGAGAGAGGAGAAGGAGGCTCTAGGCTTAGCTGAGAATATGCACAGCTCTGGGCTGTGCTGAAACTGATCAGTGGGAAGAACGGGTTTTGAAGAGCTTGGGGACTTGGTCATGGGGAGAAGAAAGTGTTTCTGGGTGGCTTGTGACTCTATCCATCACCTGGAAGGACCCAAGGGGCTGAGTTGTGCCCTTCAGCAAGAGTAGGGACTCAGGGGTCCCCACTTGTGCCTCCGGATTGTGAGGAGGGAGTGATTTCCTGCCTCTGTCTGACCTTTAAGGCTGATGTGCTCTGGCCTCAGTAGTCGATTGCTGCCACCCCCCTCCCCAGCAATCCAGAGCAGTCTAGAGCACTTCAGACTGGGAGTTAGGAGTCCCTGAGTTTGAGTGGTTATTTTGCTGAGCCATCTTAGGCAAATTACTTGACCTCTCTGTGCCTCCAATGAAGGCTTCCTCAGACTGGGGCATTCTGATTCTGTGAGGCTGAGGGTATGGTGTGTATGTGGGCTTGCGTCTTTCCTTCAAAACAGAGGACCTGAATGGAGGCTAGAACTCCAGAGTTTGGAAACTAGTACTGCCTTTTCTCAGCTGAGGTGTCAGCTGAGACACGGAAGTTGGTCTGATTGTCCTGTCTGGCTGGCTGGCTGCTCATCTGCTGGCCCCTCTGCTGGCTGACAGTAATTCAGAGCCAGTCCTTGGGTGCTGGCCGTCCAAGCACTTCTGCAAGGGCTTGTCTGAACATGGGGTCCCTTCCTCATTCCTGGAGTGAAGCTGAGACAGTCTGTGCAGGCTGCAGATGGAGACGGGGTCGGGGAGGGAAGGGGGCTGCTGTCCTCCTGTGCTAGGGACACTCCCACCAAAACTGGCTATGGGTGGTGACGAGCTGCCATCCCAGGTCCAGACGGGGGTCCTTCAAGTTACTACTATTATAACGTTTTTCTCTTTGTAGTCCTCAGAGCTAATTAAAGGCAGTTCTGTGGCAAGAAAATAAGAGTTTATAAAAACCATTTGCTGGGTCTTTGTAATCTGTATTTCTCCTTCCATGAGCAACATGGTGAATGTAGGACTTAAAACAAAGGAACCTTGGGAGACAGGGCTAGGTGCTGCCCACCTATATCGGGGTCTTACGCTGTGGGCTGGGAGGGTGGCAGACAGGCTACTGACCAGAAGGAGAGGAAGTGGAGAGCCGTTGGCTTTATACATCCAGAGATGGGGGCGAGCAGCCTGACAGGGTCACATAAGGCGCCTCCCAGGCTGGGACCTGTGGGAAGGTGTTAGGTCTGGGTTCTGGTGTTCAAGGGCTTTCTCTGCAGCTCTGCGGGGAAGTTCTGTCCACTCTGTTTGGCCTCCTCTCTCCTTCCCAGTTCTGTCCCAGGTGTTCCACTTACAGCTCACCTCAGAGCTCTGTCTCCCAATTTCCATTCCTTGGAGGCCCAAAGGCTCGAGTCCCCAAATTCTGTCTCCAGAGAGAGCTGTCCTCAGGGTCCCATTTGCACAGCTCCAACACCACACTGCCCCCTGGCCGGGCCTTTACTCCATTTTGTGCCATGGACCCCTCTTGATCTCATGAAGCCTCTGGACTCCTTCCCAGACTCACAGCTTTAATTACGGAAGACAAAATGCAAAGGATGACAAAGGAAGCCAATCTATGGAAATACAGTTTGTTTTTTGTTTCCGTTGTTGTGTGCCTCCAAGTCAATTCCAGCCTATAGCAATGACATGTAACAGAGTAGAACTGCCCCATAGGGTTTCCTAGGCCATAATCTTTAGAGGAGCAGGTCACCAGGTCTTTCTTGCACAGAGCAGCTAGTAGGTTGGAAATGCAGTTAGTAAACTATAAAACAGCAACTTTGTGAGATGGTGTGTTCCTTTATTGACACATTGGATGGCAAAACCTTGCTAAGTCTCAGCAAGAATTGCTGTGATGGTGGATAGTGATGAGCATGAGCAATATTTCAAGATAAGCTGTGACAACTGTACCAAGACTGAAAAATGTCTGTGGTTTCCACTGGTGACAAAATTTGTGGGAGAAGATGCTGAGTTTCAGTGAAAGGTTGGTGAAAGGAGAGATGTAATGTTTTTCCCATTCAAGTTCATGAACCCCTAGAACTCTGTGCACACTGAGAACCCAGTCTACAGTGCTTCCAACTCAGAATCTTCCTGGGTTGTTCTAGTAGTGACCATGAGTTTTTACCAGAAGGACCCTGATCATGGTCTCCCTTCTTCCTCCGCCTTATCCTTGTCATCCCTGTCTCTTCCAAATGCTGCCCTATACTGGCCCCCTTGGTAAAATGTGGTGAAGCCTGCTCTGTGCTAGGCAGCAGATCTCAGACATCACCATCCCCTGAGAGCGTGTAAACACCTGGATTCCCAATCTCACATCAAGAAAAAAAAAAACCTCACTGCCGTCAAGTCGATTCCAACTCATAGCGACCCCTCCTTGGGTTTCCGAGGCGGTATCTCTATGGAAGTAGATTAATCGCTCAGTGGCATAGTGCTTAAGGCATCTGACTGATAACCAGAAGACTGGCAGTTCAAACCCACCAACCACTCCTTGGAAAGAATCCCACCTCAGCCTATGGAATTGGACTCTCTCAGCATGGGGCCTAGGCAAATGTGACCCCAAAGCACAACTTGGGCAGAGTTGGAGACCTCTGGCTGGGTGCCTCATCCTTGGCCTGACTCTGTTACCTATGTGCTGTGTGACTCTGTCTGAGTCAATGAACATCTCTGGGCTGCCATTTTCTTGTGGGTGTAAGCCAGGTCTCGAGAGGGTTAGATAGATGCTCTTCAAAGTCACCCAACCTCCAGTGCAGTCTTCTTTGTCTCTCATGCCCCACACCCAGGGTGGGTCATCAGCCCTATCACTGTGGTCCTGCTACCTCAGTTTCCCCATAAACTCAAAAGAGATGACTTTTCTTCTGTTGTCATTAGTAAAGACGGGCTACGGATGAAGCATCTTAACAATTCCCTGGCTTTGGCATGTGTACTTATAAGCAATGGATGGTCTCTTTGAAACAGCAGGAGCAAATCTTCAATCTAATTTCTCATCCATAAGTCCCAACAACTGCCACTGGCCCTCACTCCTTGGTTTCTCTGACTTAGTAGAATTGTTGTTTGTTGTTGACTTAGGAGAATAGGGGTACTCATTTTGGAACAAGGGACCAGAACTCCCTGCAGTTCACTGGGGAGGAAAGGGGTTTGGGAAGAGGATAAACATTTGATTCTCACCCTGCTAGACAGGGGTGAGGAAGAGACAAGGAATGGCCAAAGCTTAACCCAAAGGGCTGGCACACTAATGGTGGAACTGCAGGTAGAGAGATGGAGGTATAGCAGGCTAGCCAGGGTGACCCTGTGCCCTAGCGATTTCCCATTGCTTCTCCCTAGGACTTTCTCAGGAAGAACCAGTCCCAGTTGTTGTCACATTGACTCCAACCCATAGAGACCTGGGTCAGAGAACTGGGCTCCATAGGGTTCTTAGTGGCTGATTTTTCGGAAGTAGTTCACCAGGCCTTTCCTCGGAGGGTAGAATCTAACTGCCAACATTTTGGTTAGCACCTGTGTGTGTTAATAGTTTCCACCACCCAGGGACTCCTCAGATGGGACAGGGGTATTTACTCCTCTGCTTGACAAATGAGGAGGCTGAGACCTAATGGCTATGATGCAGATGTTCTGTGTAATGATGAGTAAGTCCTTCCTCTCTCTGGGCCTTGGTTTGCCCATCTGACAAATTGGGGCAATGGCCCTGAGGATCCCAGAGGACCCATCAAGTGTTGAAGGTCAACACTTTTATCCTAAGTCAGCCCCATGAAGCCTTTCTCTGTATCCTCTGGGGCTCCCACACCCTCTGCCTGACCCCAGGGCAGAGGGCCCCTGCAGCAGCCCTAAACCACACCCCAGAGGCAAAATCACTGTTTCAGACATACTGAGAGCCAGGGCTCCGTCAGAGAAGGAATCATGGAGAAAGGATCTCAGTTGCCATGTGCAGGATTTGGGGGAGCCCTCGGGAGGAAAATGTCTTCATTTATTAACCCTATCATTCCACAAAAGTTTATCAAGGAGAAGAGAGTCAAGATTCAAGTTTGGACTCTGGGTTTAGACTCTATAGTTCAAATCCCAACTCTGCCATTTCCTAGCTGTGTGACAAGAGGTGAGAGACTTCACCTCTGTGCCTTCCCATTCCTCATCTGTAAAATGGGCTTGGTGATTACACCACCCTGTGGGGTCACTGCTGATTCCTACAAAGACCTTGGGAGATGCCTGGCACAGAGTAAGTGCTCAATAAACACTTTCATCTTTTTGTTACATGGAGCCCAGCCTGGGACTGGGAGCTGGGTACACAAGAGAGATGGGGTCAGGATCTCTGTTCTTGAAGTGCTCACAGTCTGGTGGGGAAAGTAACAGCTACACAGAAAATGACATTTGGGGTGTG